CTTCTTTGTAGTTAGATTTATTTTACATAATAATATTTTTTCTTATTTTTATGAATATTTGTGATTCATTTTCTCATATAAATTATCTCATAACAATAGAAATGCTTAATACTTTTTTCACCTTGCTTCCCTAATGTCAGTTTTTCAAATTCATATATTCACAGATAAAGGAAATATTATCATTAAAAAAATGGTCACAAAGTCTTCATTGTGCTCCTGTCAGATTGTCTAAGATCCCTGTATGCCATTCACTGATTTAGTACCTATAGTTAATTTAAATTTTTAATTAATAAATTAATTTGCATTCATTCATTCATTGAGCATTGTCATACCATACGAAATGTGATTTCCCATGCAGAATATACTGCATAGTGGCTTAATCATACATGTAACTGCCAATAATTTTCCATTTCTAGGTATATATATATATATATTTCCCCCATTTCTATTTTTTCATTTTTTTAATTTATTATTTTATTAATCTTGTTTATATAATATTGAATCACATATAACTTTACAGTGTATTACATTTCTTTTTCTGGAAGGAATACCATGCATATCAGTCAACACAAAGACATTAAAATCCCCATCATCATCATCAAATAGCTTTTTATTATTTTTTTCTAGATTATTATTATTATTCCAATTATTTTTAAACATCCAATCATTATAATTTTACTTGTAAAAAGACTTTACCCAACATGAAATATTTCTCAGACCAGTCCAGTTGAGGATACTATACATATCATCATCAACAGGTAATAAATCATTTCTGTGTCCCACTAATGTCATGCCTCTCCATTTGTTCTCTTGCTATCCTTCTCCATACTCTTATCTTCTCCCGCACCATTCCACACTGTCTTTATTATCACTATTTTCACTGATTTTATATCCTATAATATTTTGATCTCTACTGTAAAGCGCAGATAGTCAGTATATATTAAGTGGATACAAACAATATATTTCTTTTATATCCTGGATTGCTTCACTTAGCAATAGATCCTCCATATCCGATGACTTTCTATCAAATGCCAGGGTCTTGTTTTTTTTATGGCTGAGTAGTATTCCATAGAGTACATGTGCCACACTTTTTCAATTCATTCATCTGTTTGTGGATATTTGGGGTGGTTCCATGTCTTAGTGATCATGAATAATGCTGCAACAAACATTGATGTGCAAGTACTTTTCCAACTGAATGTCTGATAAGTATATTTTGAGAATGGAAATGGTAAATATATTTCTCACGTTTATCATAAATGAAACTCAAAAGTGGAATTTTTCATGTAAGTAGTAAGCTACTTAGTGGTATAACATTTTCTTAACACTAGGGTTTTTTCAGAATGATGACTATTTCCTTGATAAAAAGATACCTTTCATAATGGTAATCATCATATAAGTTATTATTTATGGGGTGCATACCATTCCCATGATACGGTGGTTTAAGTGAATTTCTTTCTTCACCCTTCAAAACAATCCCATTAGGTGAGTGTGTGCTATAGGTTGAATATATTTTCTCTAAAATTCATGTGCTGATATTTGATTGTAATGAAACTGAGAGTGTGAAAACTTGATTCAATTATTGTGTTGAAGTGTGGGACTTTTGGGAAGAGATTGGTGTTTGGGTGATTTGGGTGGGCCTTCTATGATTGCATTATGATGGGTTTATAAGGACAGTAAATGAGGCAGACAGAGACCCACATGCAACACAGACCATGCTCTACTTCCAACCATGTGATATAGCCAGAAGAATCCCACCAGAATGAACCCCTGAACCTCAGACATCTGAACAATAAGTTGAATAAATTTCTACTTACATAAATTCTCCAATTTCAGGACCAGCAGATGGTGTAATGGTTATGTTGCTGGACTCCAATGAAGTTGACTGTAGCCCAAGACCTGGACCTGGAGGCTTAAAAAATTCATACTGGACATGAATGAATGAGTGCCCCAAATCCAAACAGGATAATGGAGGAGAAGGGATTGCAGCATGGCCATCCCCCCTGGGGGGTGATTTCTCGCTTTCTGTCTCTCTGTCTCTCTCTTTCTGTCTGGTGAGTGCACACGCCCTATAGCAAAAACTTCTCAAAAAAAATCCTCTAATTGCAAGATTAGCAATGGAACAAGTTAGAATAATTGAATATTATACTTATTTTCTATATGGAATAACTGAAACTTCTAGAGGTTAATTAATTTCTCCAAAATCACATAATTGGTTAATGGCAGAGTTAATATCACAATCTAGATCTCTTTGCCTCCAAAGATTGTCTTCTTAACCACTGCAATACGAAAAATTTTATTAATTTATTAATTTATTAAAATGTTATAAATTAATTTCTCAGTCTATACCAGCTTTTAGGAGAAAGTGAAGGATATTTGTATTTACTTAGAATTCATCACCCTCTCATCCCCACCTTTTTTTATAAGAAGTAAAACTTCCACCCAAATTTATTTCTACTGTTGTAGGAACAGGTTATTCCTAGTTTTACTTAGAGGTAATTGGGAGTTTGTTGCTTCCCTGAATAGTGTTTTCAGGAGTAAAAACAAATTAATTCAATGGCAACAAAATTATCAAAACATTTACAAAGTATGTATTGTATATCAGAAATTATGTCGGTGTCTGCCTTGGACTTAGCTCAGTCTAAGAGAAAGCAAAAAGAAAGAGACAACGAGACAGTAGAAATGAACACTGTTGGCCTGAGCCTAAGCAGTCCAAGCAATCTGTGCTGCCCAAACTGGGTGCCTGCCTTTATAGGGCAAAATAACACTACATATGTGTGTTTCATGACATTCCACAGATAAGTTGATATGTTACAGACAATAAGAAGCAGGTAACAAATCTATAAGAGCTTAGACATAGTGGGCCAGGTGTATTTCTTGGCTACATCCATATCAAATAGAAATTCCAATAAACTTCTTATCTAGTGGAGAGAAGCGTAGCTGCATTTGTGGGGAGGATACTTTCTTGAAAACATCAAAGGGGTGTTGATAGGCTAAAGAATCTTACAGAGGCAGAGCAGGGATTGGAATTTACTAATTGAGGTCAGGATGTTTCCTGAATTCTCCCCTAGAAAATTCTACCCTTTGCTCTGCTTGCAGTAAGGGTCAACAAAAGGACAAGCTGCAAGGTCTTGTCATAGACAAAAGGGACAGGTGATGTTTGCTCAGAGCATTTCCCCACATCCTCAGGGCCTCTCTCCAAACATGTCCCTACAAAATCATACTACTTATTTACTGTTGAAGTGACATCAATAAAATATTTTGACATTTCTAAGAAAGAACGCATTTCTTCTGTGAATGAAATTTAGAAGTCTGTATAGTAGAGGCAATATTTGGTCTGGGCCTTATATTTGGATAAGAGGAAAAGAGAAGTCATACTTGTTAGAAAGAAAAAAGATGAATAAATAAATACAGGCTTCAAAACAGATGGTAACTTTGGATAATAATAAGCAGTTTGATGTGGTTGTACAACAGGGTCATCAGAAAAATCATAACATATTTTCTGTTTTTTTTTAATGCAAAAATGCATCATGGCTTTTCCAGTGACCCAATATAAAGAACTTATATTGGGGAAGGAGAGTTGCAGAATATGAAGATGAGGAAATTTGGGGACAGACAACAAGTTTGATTGCTCTACTAAGATATTTGTACATCATCTACAAGCACTAGAAACCCAATAGAGGTTTTTTGTTTTTTTTTTTTCAGGAGAATAGATGAATCAGATTTGTATTTAAGAAATAAAACAAAAGGACTGTACATGGCCTGATGATTAAGGTGGGTGGATCCCACCATAGTTGATTGTGTGATTCAAGCTCTCAATCTGGAAGCTTTAAAAACACATCAGGTGCGTGTGTGTTTGTGTGTACATGTATCCAACATTTTAAAAGGAGGGAGAGATGGAGAAGAAGGGATTGTGGCATGACTATACTCCATGGGGAGTGCTCTATCACTTTCTATCTCTGTCTTTGTCTCTCTCTACTGAGTGCACATTAAAAAAAAATTTCCTCTGACAAAGAAAAAAAAGTTAGAAATAAAAATCACTTCATGGGAAGGTGAAAAGATGAACTGGATAGAGCAAGAGAAAATGCAAAAATAAGCCATTACAAGGATTCATAAAAAAACTGATTAAGACCTGAAGTAAGGCTTTTATTGCAATGGGTTTGCCACCAGAACACAGATGTTGTGGGAGGCTGTGCACTGGCAAGTCTGCCGAGGTTTCTCAGGGAGCAAACAATTGTCATGACTGGTTCCCTTCAAAATACCTGACCTTCGAAACTTTGCTCTGATTGGTCACTAGAATCCCTCAACTTTGCATATCCAGCACCTCATGATTGGTCCAAAAGCAACCAATCATAACCCACCATTTACAACCAATCATGGCCTACCATTTACAACCCACCAGCGTGTATATAAAAAACCATGGTGCCTGGCCCACAGTAGCCAGACGACAAGGAAGATGAAGACGACCAGGAAGACAACGACCAGGACGACGACTGAAGCGCCTGAAGAGTTGAAACACCGCGCAGTCTCCAGACGACCCTGAAGATCCTGAAGAGCTGACACTGCATTGTCTCCAGATGACCTGGGAGACCCTCAAGAGCTGTAACACTACATTGTCTCCGGACAACCCTGAAGAGCTGTGACACTGCGTCATCTCTGTGCTACTCACAGTACACGACACGATCCTTAAGAGCTGTGACACTGCATCGTCTCTGCGCTGTACCATGTTGCCCACAATAAACGGACGATATTGTCGTCTTTGTGTTGTAACACTACGCCGCTTGTCCTGGCTCTCACTCCTTCACTCAGGAAACCTGTTTGCCTGTCCCCCCGGGTCGGGACAAGATGTCATAAAAACCACTGCTAAATCAAAGGTAAATTGAAAAGAAGACTCACATTAACATTGTTGTCATTGGACACATAGATTCTGGGAAGTCCACCACTACTGGCCATCTGATCTACTAATGTGGTAACATCAACAAAAGAACGATCAAAAAATTGAGATGGGAAAGGGCTCCTTTAAGTATGCCTGGGTCTTGGATAAATTTAAAGCTGATCATGCTGCCATTGTTGATGTGGTTCCTGGCAAGCCCATGTATGCTGAGAACTTTTCTGACTATTCTCCTCTGGGTCATTTTGCTGTTTGTGATATGAGACAGACAGTTGCCATTGGTATCATTAAAGCCATGGAGAAGAAGGCTGCTGGAGCTGGTAAGGTCACTGAGACTGCTCATAAAGTTCAGAAGGCTAAATGAATATCTCTAAGTCCTTTCACCTCAGTCTTAATCAGTGGTGGAAGAACAATTTCAGAACAGTTTGTAACAATTGGCCATTTAAATTTAATAGTAAAAGACTGGTTAATGATAATAATGTATAGTAAAACCTTCATAGGTAAAGGAAAATGTTCCATGGATCATTTGTGTGTGGCAGTTGTAACTTACTGGTTTTTAAAATCAGTACTTTTCAATGGAAAGAACTTGACCAAAACTCTGTCACAGAATTTTGAGATTTGTTAGAACAAATCTTAATGAAGGAGGGAAAAAACCCACAAAAACCTAAATAAGATGGTAACAGTGGAGGAGAAGCACCAAAATGGAAGATATTTTGGAGATACATTCAGTAAGATTTAAGAAATTATTCTATGTGAATTGTAAAAGATATATGAGAATCACATATGATTTTAAGACTTATAGGCCAAGATCTGGGCCTTTGCATCCCTTTCTTGGTTCAGCTCCATGGCTGTGAAGCCCCCCCAGCCAGGGCCCCCTTCCAGACCTCAGTGCTAGTCAGGTAAGCAAAGTCTCTCTCTCTCTCCCCGATTCTGTGGTGTCCCTTCTAATTTTTTTCCTCTTTTTTGAAAACAAAAAACAAAAAACAAAAACAGCTTTCTGCCCCCTTGTGTCATTCTCTTGCTAATTTTTCTCTTCTTCCCTCACCTAGGACAGAATCCTTGCAGGCATCTATCCCCATCTCTGCCTCTGCTGCCCTTTTATATTTTTAACTCAATTTTATTTTCTGTGATATTATTTATGCTTTTTTCTCCTCTTTTTTTCTAGTTCTCTCCTTTTTTCTTTTTGTTTTTGTTTCTATTTCTGTTTCCTACTTTCTTTTTCTTTTATCTTACTTTCTTATTTTACTGCTCAGTCCTTATTGACTGCCTAGAGAAGTTTAGATGCATAGTAGCTAAACATCTAAATATTGTGAGTTTTAGAGAATTTTTTGCCCCTCACTGTACTGGTTTTAAAAAGAGTCAAACTCCCCTTTATAAATATGATTTCAAAACTCCTCCTGTGATTACCAAACTGTAGGACACAATAGAAGGGAGAAAATAGCACTGAATTATTTCAGAGCAAAGGGAAAAAAGTGACCTCACAGTTACAGGAAATTTATCCAATAAGTTAGCTAAAAGTAAGTATATTACCAAATGACTAAAAATCAGAGAAGAGCCTCAAGGATGAGCGAATCAAGTAATACATCTTCAAGACAGTAACACTGCATCTCATCTCCAAATAGGGAAAAATTAAAGGATATTACTAAAATGTCATAAAAAGAAATTAGAGTATGAGGAAGGACATTTAGAAGAAAAATAGAAAAGCAAAGCATTAATGGGATAGAGAAATGGGATATTACCTGTTGAAGATAATTTTATAGTATTATCAACTGGACTAGGGAGAAATGTACACATGTTGGAATATTCACTTTGTAACCTAAATAACGTGAATGAATGTATAAAAGAACATGAAATAAAAAATAAAATAATTTAGAATATTTATGATAACAAAACTCTATGAGATGTAAGAGAAAGAGACATTGAGCTCCAAGAGATGAAGTTCTTCCACGATATGAAAGAAGAATTGAATACTATAAAAAAGCAATAAAATGGAACTGTTAGGTAGAAAGCCTGTAATGCGCGAAATCAAAACCTCCCCTGAAAGTATTAAAAACAGATTAAACCATGCAGAAGCTTAAATAACAGAACTAGAAAACAAAACCTATGAACTAGAAAAAAGCTATCAAAAATCCTAAAAAAGAAAAAAAAAAGAAAAATGAGAATATATGAGAAATACTAGATACCATGAAACACCCAAACATCGGAATAATTGGTATCCCATAAGGTGAAGAAACTAATAAGGACATTGATAATCTATCCTGCAAAGTCCTGGATGAAAACTTTCCAAATCTAGAGAGGCATTCAAACATTCAACTCAGGAAATATGAAAAATCACAAATAGAATCAACCCAGGAAGATCCTCTCCATAGCACATCATAGATAGATTGGCCAAAATCACAGACAAAGACGATATACAAAGACTGGCAAGAGAGAAACATCGAGTAATTTACAAAGGCTTTTCCATCAAGCTACACTGGAACTCTCACCAGATACACTGCAAGCGAGGAAAGAATGGGGTAATATATTCAAAGTGTTAAATGAAAAACAATTCCAACCAAGAATATTATACCTGGAAAGATTATCTTTGGTATGTGAAAAAGAGATTAAAAACTTTCTCAGATAAAATACCTGAAAGAATTTACTGACCAGCTCTTCAAGAAATTCTCAAAGGATTACTATACCAAGAAAACTTAAGTCAGACAGACAGCAATAAGAGAACAACAACAACAACAACAACAACAAAGACAAAACAAGAACATGGCCAACTTAATGGTAGAGACAAGTCTGGAAACATTGATGATAGTGTTGAATATTAATGGATTAAATTCTCTGATTAAAAAATAATAAAAAATTCTCTGTTCAGGAGACACAGACAGGTTGAATGGATTAAAAATCAGAAACCCTCTATCTGGGGAACCAGCAATTAGCATAATGGCTATGTTGCTGGACTCCCACATAGTCGACCATGGTTCGTGTCCTGGACCTGGTGGCACAAAACTCATGCCAGGCATGTGTGCGTGTGAGCCCAAGATCCCGAAAGGAGAATGGAGGAAAAGGGATTGTGGTGTGACCATCCCCCCTGGGGGGTGATTTCTCGCTTTTTGTCTCTATGTCTCTCTCTGTCTGTCTGGCGAGTGCACGCACCCTATAGCGAAAACCTCTCCAAAAAAAAAAGAAAAAGAAAAAGAAAAAGAAAAATATAAAAAAGAGAAACCCTCTATCTGCTTCCTAAAAGAAATCCATCTTATGTATAAAGACACGAATAAATTAAAAGTGAAGGGTTGAGGGGACCAGCAGTTAACGTAATGTCTATATTGCTGGACTCCCACCACAGTTCGAGTCCCGGATCCAGTGGCTTAAAACTCATGCTGGGTGCGTATGCGTGTGTGTCCAAGATCCTGAGAGGAGAATGGAAGAGAAGGGATTGTGGTGTGGCCATCCCCTCTGGGGTGTGATTTCTTGTTTTTTTGTCTCTCTGTCTCTCTCTGTCTGGTGAGTGCACACGCTCTATTGCAACAACCTCTCCAAGAATGAAAAAATAGTAAGCAAAGAGATTCAAGACCTATCCTTTTCTCTCTTTTTTTCTTTCTCTCTCTGTTTTCTTATTCTTTTTTTTTACATCACGTTGCTGCTCAGCTTCAACTTAGTGAGTGTCTAGACTATTCTAAATAAAAAGTTGACAAATTTGAATACTATTTAATTCTTCATATTCCTCAACTCCCACTGAATCTGTGTTACAAAGGGAAAAAAAAGCATAATACCAAAGAGTTTTCAGACCATATCCTCCTGTGTGCATCTGATCACTTAGATTGATCTTCTAGAGTTTAGGAAGAAATGGATAACCCATCAGATGACTAGAAATCACCATAGGGTTACAAGAAATATAAAAAACCAAGAACATGCTTCATCCTCTAGGGAAAATAATAACTCCTCTTCATCCACAGAGCGTACAATGGAAATCATGGAAATGTCTGATAAAGAATTTAGAATATTCATAGTGTCAAAACTAATAGAGATGGAAGAGAAGAGGGACACTGAACACCAGAAGAAAAGAGCTGATGAGTCCCAGGAGGTAAGGAATTTCTTGCTAGAGCTGAAAGAGGAAATACACACCATAAAAAAGAATCAAATGGAACTGTTGGAGATGAAGGCTATAATACAGGAAGTAAAAATCTCCTTTGAAAGTTTTAAAAGGTATTTCAAAGGGAACACATCTCCCAATGGTCAGAAGTAGAAGAACCTCAGGTCTGAATAAAGCAGGAAATATGTCTCCATCAAAAGAACACAGTGACTCCCTTTTCTTGAAAAAATAGAGAACGTCACCAAATGTCTGAGATAGAATTTAGAACATTCATGCTGAAGAAATACTATGAGCTGGAACAAAAAAGAGACAGTGAACTACAGATGAGAAAGTCCTTCCATGATATGAAGGAAGAAATGGACACACTAAGAAAGAATAAGATGGAACTATTAGAGGTGAAGTCTGTAATACAGGAGATCAAAAACTCTCTCGAAAGTATTAAAAGTCGGTTAGACCATGCTGAAGATCGAATTTCTGATGTAGAAGATAAAATTTCTGACCTAGAGAAAACCACCAAAAAGATAGAGAAAATAACAAAAAACCATGAGGATAACATACAAGAAATACTATATTCCATTAGACATCCTAATATCCAAATAACTGGTATCCCAGAAGGTGAAGAAACCAATAAGGGCA